TTACAAATTTTGATCCCTGAAATTCTTGGTAATACCAATGTTCACTTTGTCTGGTTTTGTTGCAGTCTGCCCCAATTGTGTGAATTTAACATCTCTGTTTTTTGTAAATAATAAAATTCAATGTCATTATAACAGTAACAGTAGTGAATTGTTCTCCCTTATCCATATTCGAATATTTGAAATGATATTTTGATTCTTATTATAATACTTTCGAATATAAATATCGTACACTTTCAAATATCATAACACTTTCAAATATCGTAACACTTTCGAATTAGAATATCGTAACACCTTCGAATACTTTCAAATTAATATATTGTAATTATAATATTAATATATATATAATAAAATTAAATTTAAAAGGTGGGGCAAAGATTGGTCACGATGTATATACATGTGGGTAAAGTTTTCATAACATGAGGGAATTATATATATATGTATTTAAAATATGTATAAAAATTAATTCTTAATAAATAAAACTAACAATCTTTTGCAAAAAAAAAAAAAAATAAAATAAAATTGCTGATCAAAAAGAATTTTCTGGAATTTTTTCTATTCTGTAGATCCCTACTTTTAAGGAAATTCCATTTCGGGGAATAATCCTGACTGAAGTGTAACAATAATTTGTCGTGTTACAATATTTTTGAATCTCACGACCAAATTTGATAATGATTTTTATTTATTAATAAAAGAAAGGAAATAAATAAATCAAATGAATCAAATGTATGTCGTAGAAAATATTCTATGAAAAAAAGTTGTTACACAAAATTTACTTAGTCTCAATTTCTTAAATGTATAACAAAATTCGGAATTTTCAAAATGTTAGGGCTCTGCCAATTTTCAGTTTAAAAAAAAACCAGCTGATAAGTTTGAAGCTTGAGTCATGAACAATAAAACTTATTGGTTAAATTTTTTAAAATGATATAGTTTTAGTGTTTTGAAGTTGACCAATTATTAGAATAGTGGACATTCGTTTTATCACTTGTGACAAAATCGATCGTTGATCTTTTTTATATTGTGAAACCTTCCATTTCAATTGAATTTAGAATAGAAAAAAGTCGCGTGACTGCGCACAAAACCCATTTTATGGAAAATCTATTTTTTTTTTATATATTAATATATCGCTTTGACTTTTCTTTATATTTTGGTAAAACTTGATCAATTTGATCAATTTGATTTCAATAAGTTACCTTAGAAGCAAAAGTTTAAGGCTTCTGTGATCTTGTCCATCAAAATTGTGTCATTATTATTTATTATTATTATTTAAATTTTTTTTTTTTTAAATATGAATGATAACATTTTACTTTATTAATAGTTATTATTATACTTGCAGGTAAAGACTTATTCTGTATTCTCATTATTATTATACTTTAAAGAATAAGTATTTATTATATATATTTGATTAACTTATAACTTATGTTCAACTTTTTTCCAATAGTACAAAGATCATATAATAGGTTGTATCTTGATTTTTCTATGATGCATTTAAAAAACAAGGACTTTTAAACAACAATAACAGATATACTCAGGGTGTAATTATAAAGTGATGCATACAATTTAAAAAACATATTTAGAATATATCTTTTTATATTTATATTTATATTTATATATATATATATATATTTTTTTTTTTTAATATTTTTTTTTTCAAAATTCATGTATTTATATTCATGCCACCAATCTATTTATTTATAGGAAATTTCAGATATATACATACAATATTATATAATGGATGATAATTCATGATCAAAGGTAAATGTTGATTTGAAGAAGTCAATGAAAAGTTAAAAAGTAAATAATATATTAGACTGTATAATGAAAAACCAAGCCTATGTATTAAAAACATTCAATAAAGAAATACTATATTAATTTTTTTTATCAATTCGAAACTAAATTTCCTTCCCTCCGATATTAATATTAATATATTAATATATTTTGTTTTTCAAATTTGCGTAACGATCTTCAAGCCAATAAAATTTAATTTTTGCGTGATATCTGGAAGGGAGATCGTCACAAAATTTAACCAATGAAATCAAATGTCCACTATGCTCCAATTATTATTATAAACAATTAATGATTATAGGTGATCTGCACCGTACCATTTTTGCACCACCGATCACTATAAGAATTCTCTGCTTCATTTGCGGATCGTCAATTAAATGATTATTAATAATGTAATAATAATATTCTGATCACTAACTACTCTAGAAAAAGGTAATCTTCTTAGAAGAAGATTTGTTGTTCTTTGATGTCGTCTGATTTCACTTAAAGCTATATTATATGGCCTGTACCTTGGTGGCTTTGTGTAAAAGCCTGTTTTTTATTTTAAAATAATGTATAGAATATCATTTAGTCACTTCCAAATTGATATGCAAATAATTATTTACTCAAGCAAATTCAATTGGTTGAATTTATACATTGGTATATACATCTTTAAAAATCAGCACTTACATCTGGTATTTGTTGATTCGTTTAAATTATTTGTCAGACCCATTAGATCATCACCATCATCGTTATCATTATCGTCCTTTGTAGACATTATGATACTGGTGGTACTCCATGACATAAAAGCCTGATTTTCTTCTTTTTGAATTTCTTGAAGACAATTTTTTTTTTAAAAAAAAAGTTGTTTGGTCGACAAACGTGTACAATGTTAATTATTTATCATTATATTTCCTTTTTGTTGACGCGAATTTTTGGAAAAACTTATTTTTCAAAAATGGCAAAACGTGAATCTCCTAAAGTAAACGTGTTAATGACAGGGGTACTTTTTTTTAATTTACATTGTCTTTTTTGGTTATTATAAATATTATAATTAAATCAAAACGTGGGCAGATCATTGCTGGGTAATTATAAGATTTATCAAGATTATGTATTTTGCTTTTCGTAATCAATATTAATAATAACATTATTCAATAATTACAAGAATGTCAATGCAGCATACTGTTGAAAAAGAGACATTTCGATATGCAATGTTTGATTATCGGAAATCGGCAGGCGTTGAAGCATGCACACTACCTTGAACACTTTACAGTCATTCTCATGTATTCCTCATGTACAAAGGTTAATCTGACCAAGATTTCCTTGATGATATGATGATGCAACAGAATTACAAGGGGGATCACATGGCCCTGGAATTTACCGAGATTGCATCAATTGTCAAGGACGTTTTTCACTAATCTTCCCAGACCAGAGATGGCCGCTGGCATGCTAGCCGAAAAGTTACCTACATATTAATATTAATAACAATAACAAATAAAAAGTAATATAATTTACAGTTGCATAATTCGTTGTTTTAAATTTAAATAATAAATATAGTAATGATGAATGACGATAATTGCATTGTTGAAAATAATGGTTCTTCAATTACTTCTTCGACAGGTACAGTGCAATGTAACAAAAACTGAAGCGTAGAACCATTTCACAGTTGTAGATAATGCAATTATTGCACCAGGTAAATATTTTTTGACTTTTGAAACCATTTATTTCCAAAGGCAACTTTTTTTAAAATTACAAATTATAAACAATGATTTTAGAAATAACATAATGCCAACCAAATTGTTATATTCTTAAATCTAAAATTCGCGATTATTTTTAAATTATTTCGACTTGTAATCATTTAATTTATTTCGAATATTCATAATTGTTTTAAGCACTTGTATTAATTTCAAACGTTTGTATTTATTTCAAATATTACACTATATTTACTACAAAAGGAAAAACATTCCATTTGGGTTTTGAGAAGACACTTTTACTTGAACTTGATATGTTCTTACACTTCCATCATCACTAAAGTGTTGCCAAATGAAGCTCTCACTTTTGTATCGTGTTTTTTTTGGCTGGTGGTCGATAAATTATTTATGGAAACGGAAAATAGATGAAAGCTTCAGAATTGGTTGTTAGATATTCTGCATATTCTTCATAAAAATGAGTTGGCTCACCTTCTAATGTCAAACCACTCATACCTACATTACCTACCTTTCTGTTTAAAGTACTTCCATGCAATACCAGATAAAACAAAATAAACGTGAATATTTGTTTTTTTTCCTTTTAAAAAGCCATATCCAAAATTAATGTGGTAAATGCATTCTAAAAGACTATTAAACGTCCACAAAGTGCATAATCCTGCAAGAAATTTGGATCTACAAAAAAACCCAATTGGTGGTGTGAAAAAAGCCATGACCACTGATACCCATGGAAATACTACCGAGAATAATGTAGTAATTATAAACATAAACTTTTTGCAACTTTTGTCAAATTTTTTTGGTATGAGTCTTTCACCCCGTTCATCGAATTCATTTTCTGTAGCCTCAATGTCTTCATTTTCTTCTAACACTCTTATTAAGTGACGATTTAACTCCTTTAACTCATTAAAATCTATTCCAGGATCCTTGACAACAATTTCTGTTCGAATTGTTCTTTTAACAATCACTGGAAAAGTCCAAAGAAATGACAAAGTTAAAGAGGGCCAATCTTCAGGAGTACATGGTCCCGTCGCACTGTAAATTCCTGAAATTATTCCAACAATAATATAATATGCAGACGCCAATGAAGACAACCGGTCCATCACCGGTGCATTTGCTGTGCATTGTTTCATAATTTTATCTTGCTCCAAAGTAATCAGCATATTTTTTGCATGAAGACCGACTGGAGGAAAGTCAAGATTATTTTCATTTGTTGTAAGAAAAAATTCTTCAGGGAGCCAATATATACACATTTCCACTGGGTCAGCTCCTATGACCAGGTAGTAAAACAGACCTGTGAAAGGACAACCAAGGCACTTAAATACCCAAATCAATTTATCAAACAAAAGTTTGAATGGGGATGTCCCCAATATTACGATTACAGGAATGAGACCCGATATATATTGCGGCATGGGTTCTTGTAATTTAGTAATAATTGGATTTTGTGACATTTTATGTTAAAAAATTATCGTTGAACTCATTTTAATGATTAAACAAATTTGGACGTTTATTTATTAAAGTTTTCATTTACATTGTAAATAAAAAGATAAGTAAAATTATTTCAAATTGTGAATGAACGTTTGATTTAGGAAGATGGACAATTAATTTTTCACTTATAAATAAACTCTATATGAAAGTAATTAATGCCATTTGATATTGATTAAAACAATAAATTTTTAACATAAAATGTCACACAATCCAGTAATTCCTAAATTACAAGAACCCATGCCCGTGCCGCAATATATAGCGGGTCTCATTCCTGTAATCGTAATATTGGGGGCCAGCCCGGTGGAACGGTTGATATTTAAACTTATTTGGGTGCTAAGGTGTCTCGGTTGTCCTTTCACAGGTCTGTTCCACAACCTGGTCATTGGATATGACCCAGTGGAAATGTGTATGTATTGGCTCCCAGAAAATTTTTTTGTTACCACAAAAGAAAAAAATATTGACTTTCATCCAGTCGGTCTTCATGCTAAAAATCTGCTGATTACTTTGGAGCAAGAGAAAATTATGAATCAATGCACAGCAAAAGCACCGGTCATGGACCGGTTGTCTTCATTGGTATCTGCATATTATATTATTGTTGGAATAATTTCAGCCACATCAAGTATGACGGGATTATGTACTCCTGAAGATTGGCCCTCTTTAACGTTGTCATTTCTTTGGTTAACTCCCATAATTTTTGGGAGGACACTTATAACAGGAATCCTTGTAGTCAAGGATCCTAAAAAAGAGTTAGAGGATCACTTAATAAGAGTGTTAGAAGAAAATGGAGGCATTAAGGATATTAAATACGAATCCGCTGAATGGGGCGAAAAACTCATACCAAAACAATTTGACAAACGTCGCAAAAGGTCAATGTTCATAATTACTACATTACTCTCCGTAGTATTGCCATGGGTATCAGTGGTCATGGCTTTTTTCACACCACCAATTGGGTTCTTTTGTAGATCCAAATTCCTTACAGGATTATGCTCTTTGTGGACGTTTAATAGTCTTTTAGAATGCATTTACCACATTAATTTTGGATATGGCTTTTTAAAAGGAAAAATGACGAAAAAAATTATTCACGTTTATTTTGTTTCATCTGGTATTATAATAACAGGTTTTTTGATTCTGCTGATTGTGCTTAACAATGAATCACAATTGTGGGTTAAGCTGTTTGGAGACGAGTGTTCAACAAGTCCCTGCATTTCTGGAGATTAGGAC